CAGCCATTGTTGCCCACTCTGCTGAAGACCTCCAACAACTCATGAATTGTTTTAGCAAGGCCTGCCAAGACTTTGGACTAACAATCAGCCTGAAGAAAATACAAGTCATGGGCCAGGGCGTGGACTCACCTCCCTCTATTACCATCTCCACACAAGAATTGGAGGTTGTTCATGACTTTGTGTACCTTGGCTCAACGATCTCTGACACTCTCTCCCTAGATGTTGAGCTGGATAAATGCATTGGCAGAGCAGCTACCATGTTCTCTAGACTCACAAAGAGAATATGGCTCAATAAGAAACTGATGACATATACCTGGCAGGACAAAGTTCCAAACAGAGTAGTCCTAGAACGAGCTGGAATTTTTAGCATGTATCCCAATTTGAAGAGACCCTTGTCCAACAGGACGAAGCAGTGACGAAAGCAACAAAATCAGGGAGCTGGACAGGGGACAGATTGGATTTGCCTTCAGTGTGGAAGGGATTGTCACTCTCAAATTGGCCTTCTCAGCCACACTAGATGCTGCTCCAAGTCCTCCATACAGAGCACATTACCATAGTCTCTTGAGACTGAAGGATGCCTAATCATCTACATCCTTTAAGTGCTTCATGCCAACTTTACCATAGATACCCTGCTTTTGCTGATAATTTTTAATTACACGCAGAAGCAAGAAAATAGTACACCTTCAAAATTTGTTTCCCAAAGCAATAGCTTTATCTTACTTCACACTGGCCCTAGCACATGGTATTAAGGAGTCAATAGTAGCATGCCCTTGCTTATAGGAGCCTACATATTCCTTCCTGAAATACAGTAGGTAACAATCTGTCCCCTAGTTGCTTTTCATTTCCTTGAGCAAAAGGAGTAAGGAGCTGGTATGGGAAAGGGGGGGGGGGGCCATGCAGTCTGAGAAATACAATGGGAGGCATTCAGCCAATTAATGCCCTGCCCAGTTCTGTGTGAATATCAAAAACATCCCTTGGGATGAGGAAACAAGTGGGGAACTCCTTCCTTCCGGAATGTTTTGTATCTATGTATAATAAAAATCACAAGGTTTCCAGTAAAACACCAAAAAGAGTGCAGTGCGATTTTAAATTTTCCTAACTCTTGCAGCTGTTACGCCTGTTGGTTTAGCCACTGTACCAAAATTAGCATTATATATCATTATTGTATTTTTCTTATTTTCATCTTTGTATTTTCTTTGATGGGTGAAGGAATGCCCTTTGTTCTTTTACTCTAAAAAGAAGCCTTGCTGCCCCTTTCCCCTTCAGTACTGCTTGCAAGGAAGGGATGACAAAATTTTTTGGTTAAGTGCCATAAATTCTGTACAGCATCTGTGGGTGCCCAATATTGTAGGGCTGCAGTTCATGTCAGCCCTAACCATCATAGATAGCAAAGGGTGAGATGTGATGAAGACTGTGGCCAAAAGATATCTGAACAACCATAAGTTGCCCACCCCTGATTTAGGAGTAGTGATAAACCAGAGTGAATTTTAATGTTATCTATGTTGGGTTTACCTCTCTTTGTTCTGATCTTTCTCTCAGAATCTCATGCCTTCACTATCACACAGCTTGCCTACTTTCTAAACAGAACTTCAGTGGAATTTGTCGGCAATGCCACTCTGGATGGGACACTCACCCATAGCCTGGAGACCCATAATGGGCAAGTCAATGTGAGCCAGCTGTGGCCACTGGAGAACTCAGACGCCTGGAAGCAGAGAGAGAGGAAGCTGCAGGATTACCTAAACAAGTTCGTGCTCCTGGTCAACTTGTTTGTGAATGAAAGGGCAGCATCATGTGAGTAATGAAGCAGGGAGTTAAGATGGCAATGGCTGCAAGAATTGTCATAGCAACTATCTTAGGCAAACAGCAATTTAGGAAGGTGATGTAGCTGAGTATTAAAGGCTGGAAAATACTGTGACCTCTAGCCAAATAATATACCCAGGGATTTGCAAATGGGAGAAAAACGGAGAAGCAAGAAGTTACTTTTTTGGACTACAACTTCCAGAATACCACAGCAACACTGCCAATGGGCAGGCCAGCTGGATATTCTGATGTCTGAATCTAAAAGAACTGAGCATTTCTCATCACTGGAAGAAAATAATAGCAGCAATAATAGGATCCAACCAAGATAAAAACGGTCTCTTCTTTTGGACAGCGTTGCTCCAACCATATTAATTTTCTAGACCTGTTATTTGAAAAGAAAATATATAGCTCAATCAGTGAGAATGTGATAGAAAACCTACTGGAAAAATGTACTTATCATATACAGGTGTACTTTGGAGAGGCAGCAGCAGTACCTGCATGGTGAGTGTGCAATGAACGTCAAGGATGATTCCAACCAGCTCAGCATAATAGTGATGTATGCATGAAAAAAGAGGGAAGGAGCTATATCTATAGCACATCTTTCTTACACATGTATTTTTGGTTCCAGATCCTCTACAGGTACATTGTATGAAGGGCTGCCAGCTCACAGAGAATGGCACCAACAGCTTCTACGAGGTATTGCTCAATGGGACCAAGTTCCTGACGTTCTATGCAACCAGAAATTACTGGACACCTTTACAAGACACTTCTGCAGCCAAGTACACTAGTGCCAAGCTGAATGAATACAATGAGACGACAACCGATCTACAGTTCTTCCTACAAAAAACATGCATCAACTTCATCAGGGAGCACACTGACATGCAAGGACCCTTGACTGGTATGTAAAAAGTGGTTATAGAATTTATAAGAAGCAACTTCCCAACTCCAACTGCTGTTAGATAGGGTGTCCAAAGAATGCATAACCAGTCAGTGCATCAGTCAAAAGTCCAGGAACTCTGATAGATTAGGTATGTGTGGCCTGTAGCTCTTGCATACTGCAAGCAGGCAATGGAGTAAGATGCAGAATTGAGTTTCACTGCTTTTTTAAAAAATTAACCCTACAGGCATGGGAGTTTGTAATAAAATACCTGGCTCTTAGCATGTAGGGGAGGAAATAAAGCATACTGCATACTTACCAGTGATCGAGTCTTCAAAATCTCCTCCAGCTCATTACCATTCCCAACTAGCAGCAAAATTATGCAGAAAGTTACGTATACAAATACAATGTTTGGTTTTCAACTTGTTAGCTTCAAAATATAGCTGATCTTGGAGCAGAAACACATAGCTGTGCACCAATACCAAAAGTGCTTTTAGCATTCTTTCTGTTACAGGATGAATGCACAATTTCCTGCTGAGGGATAGATTGAGATGGTTTCAATTGCAGGAAACACTGCTTAAAATATATCCCCCACTCTGATTATCATTCAAAAAGTTCATTTTAAAAGCAGACAATAATTTGCAATTTTTACACTGATGGCACTAGCTCAGACAAATGCACCTTATGACTTGAAGCCTAAAGATCATAGCCCTGTGCTCACCCACTTGAACAACAGAATGGCAGTTGCAGTGCCTATGATATAGAAAGGCTTTCAAAACTTGTGTTTTTTTCTCTCCTCCTTACAGGGAAACAAAAAGGACGGTCACATACTCCACTAGTACTAGGTGTCTGTATTGGTGCTCTTGCTTTAATGGGCCTGGCTGTTTGCATCTTTCTTTGCACAGGTGGGAAGAGATAGCAACAAGTGCTATAATATTACATGGACCACCAACTCTCCACCTGAATGTCTAGCATATTAGTGACTAATTAAATGCAGATTTGTAGGCCCCATCTCCTTTTTGTTGTTAAAGTGAACCCCAGAGCAGCAGCAAGGTCTCCGGATGACTTTGGAATTGTCTCTAGTTTACACTGATGCTGTGAAATATTGTTTATCTGCACCACTTTTATAGGACTGTAATATCTTGCACACAGGGATACTTCTAAAAATGATCTGGAAATACCAACTTCTACAGTGTTTGTGGGAGTTCTGCTGGTCTTTTCTTGGTTGCAGTGGCTTCTGGTTTATTTCCCAGCCCAATTCACAATCTTGTTTTTGACCTACAAAGCTCTGCCGTTTCGGACCTTGGAACCTGTGTTATCGTGGAAACCCTTTGAATGTCTTGATTCATAAGGTCAGAAGGTGCAACAACACTTTTTTGAGGGCTGGCCTCCTAGCTCTGCATGTTTTCCACAGAGAAGTTCATTTGATGTCCAACATTATCTTTTCAGCACCAAGCTAAGATTTTTCTATTATAAAAATATATTAAATACTATTATAAATATTTAGCATTTTTAGTATTCATAGCAGTGTTAAGACTGCAGTGTGACTTTATTTGTTGTACTAGATATTTTTGTTTTTTAAATCCATATTATATATCAGTTTGTGTTGTGCTCGAATGTATTATATTGTTATAATCTTGTTATATATTAATAATTCTTAGGTTAATATGCCATTGTTTCAAAATGCACTAAAGAACTATTTTGTGTTACTTTTAACAGAAACGTATTCCCATGCTCCACCCGTTTCAATGGACAGATATAAAACATAAAACACGTCATAAAGACCATTAATACAGTGGGGTCTTGACTTGAGAACTTAATCCGTATTGGAAGGCGGTTCTCAAGTCAAAAAGTTCTCAGGTCAAATCTGCATTTCCCATAGGAATGCATTGAAAACCATTTGATCCGTATCTGCTCTTTTCCGTCCATAGAAACTAATGGGAAGCTGCTATTCTGCCTTCGACCACTAGAAGGGGATATTTTGTTTCTTTTTTTCTTAGGTTAAGAAAGGTTCAGGGAAGGCAGGGAAAATACAGTCCAGGCAGTACAGTACCAGGCAGTCCGAAGATTGTCTCCCAATCCACTCGTTAAACGCTGGGAGGAGTGAGGAAGCAGACAGGCACCCTTTTCACTGGCCAACAGTTAACTGAAAGTTCAAATTTTGCACTTTCCCTGCCTCCCACGTGGTTTTTTTTCAGTTTGTAACTCAAATCTAAGTATGTAAGTCAAGTCAATGTTTTCCTATGAGAGTGCTTCTTAAGTCAAAATGTTCTTAACTCGAGCCATTCTTAAATCAAGACCCCACTGTATAGCTAGACTCCTTGCTCTTCACTTTTCCTCCACCTTTCTGCAGAAACATCCTGGAACTGGAAATCACTGCACCTCCTATTTATTTTATTCTAACAGTCTGAAAGTTACTGAGATTGTATTTTTCTATGGTTTTTAAAATGGAAATCATTACTAGAATATGTGATGCTACTGGACTTGACACTTACACTGCTTTTGATAGGTATTAAGGCACGCTGGCTTATGCCACTGGATATCCAAGGCAGTATGCAATTGGATATCAGTTTCTGGGGAAAGAAGAACAGCCTAAGAGCACTATGGCCCCGTCTGGAAGACTCCTGGGAGCATCCTGCTGGTTACTGCAGAAACAGCATACTGGTCTCAGTAGAATATTTGGTCTTAGCTACCAGAGATGTTTGTAAGGTCCTTGATACAAACCTAAACATTGCATTATAGCTGCCAAGCCTTCAGAAAAGCCCTCAGGATCTGCTTATGCCTGTTTTGGTTAGACAGATATATCTAAATCAACATAACACACCTCAACAGATTGTGAAGCAGGCAATGAAAAATTTCAACAAGGGACAGCCAACATCTCAGGAATACTTGATAAGCAAACAGGATTTTGAACAGCAGAGATTCCTTTTGGATGGATTAAAATTAGAAATAATACTTCTCACATAAACTATTAAACATAACTTTTCCAATGTACTTAACTTTGCTTTCCTATATTCTTTGAGATATAGTGGATAGTGTGCAGCCAAGAACTGTAATATGAGGTTGGGAGTTTGATTTCCCCACTATGCCTCCCTGACAGGGGCGGGACTCGATGATCCATGGGGTCCCTTTCAGTTGTTAGGATTAGGGAACAACAACTCATATTTTATCCTTGCAACATAACTGAGTAGGAAGCCAACAACTGTAAAGCAGTGTGTATAATTTACAAGTACTCTGAAGATTCTCTTAATAATTGTTCAGTTAAGCCTCTCTGGATCACCCACCCCAACCCCCCGTATTGTAGACTTGTGGCTCTGAAGTGGCAGGAGCTCAAAAATGGAACAGCAGCAATTTTGGAAATCCTTTCAGCTCCCCTAGGAAATCTCCTCTTTATGGAGCAAAGCCAATAAAAATACTTCAACCAGCAGAGAAAAGGAGGGGATAGGCATGGACTTTCTGAATGTGTCAAATGTGACATTTTTATAGTATTTCCTACTTATAAACATTTTGGATTTTTTTTTCTCAATACGAAGTCATCTCTAGCTCTTGTTCATATAAAGAATTTACATCAGGACAGGCAGTTTCAGCTATTATTTTAGATAGCACTAGCAAGAGAGCCTGGATTATATTATTATAATTATGTGTAACCGATAAGTCCTTAAATCTTTGACAAGCAATTGCAGCAAAGGGTTAATTCACACACCAGTATGTGTGGTGCACATATGCCAGTGTTTGCAGAAGTAACCACCATCCACTCCTTCAAATAAGGATCAAAGATACCCAAGGAAGGATGCAATCCTATCCTAGATTAATCAATTGCATAAGATGTTTTGCTGAAGAGTCTAGGAAGAAAATGTTTTTACACAGTTTAATTGAAAGAAACGGGGAAAGCAGCTACTGCTGTCTACAGATGAAGGTGAAAAACAGGGAGGTACATGTTCTTTTATGTCAGAAATGATGAACATGTAGTCTTTCTGGATGCTGTTGGACAGCAACTCCCGTCTGCTCTCAGCAGTGGAGTCAAACAGTGGAAGTTGCACTACAACAATGTAGAGAAGCACACATGTTCCTCATCTGTTCTTTAAGTGTGCAGAAAAGACTATTTCTTATCAACAAGGCCCTTAGTTCACTTAGAATAATGGGAACGGGGCTTGTTTTTGCCACCCACATAGTTTCAATGTTGTCCACTATCCAAATGTTAAAGCTATTTGATCTACCTGAGTGACCCTGCCACCTTTGCCCACAGCACTGTTCTTTCTGTATGAAACCACTTTGCACATTTCTACACTTTCACTACAGTCTACAGAAACTATATGGTTAAGTATTGCTGCCAATCACAGGCATAGCAAGCTTCCAAATTTGAACGACCAAAATCATATATTTCAGTATTACTAAGGGAGAACCAAGGACCATTTTGGATGGTGGAAACACCTTAAGTACACTTCCACAGTGCAAACAGGAAGCATCTGGATGTTTGTCAGAATCCTAAAGAAGGTCAAATGCAGGTAACAAATCAAATCTGTAGAGGTAGCATTGTCTCATGTCTCAACACCATTAGAAGAAGAGACAAAGAATTAGGTGTTTGTGCAAGGTAACACAAATGAGGACAATGAAGAATTTGTTTTAAACCAACTGTGTCAGACGGGCTGAAGAATGGCCGAGATTTGGTACAAGGCAAAACAGAGGGACCGTGGAAAAGTTATGAAAATTCATTCAGAAGGGCAAGAAAAAGTAACATCAAAATATATTTTAAAACCAGAATTCCAATGTAGTATTTTTCTTAAATTACCTCACATTTCTCAACTGTTGGAGCCTGACTGCTCCAAATAAAGCACCAGTTGTGTCCTGAATAAGGAAATTTCTTTTGCTGTCTTCTGATGAGTCCCAATCACCTCACTACTGTAAAAACAGAGGTTTCGGTGGTCACTCCAATACCCTTCAATTTTGTTCTATTAACGCCCAGAAGAAACTAGTGCGGTTTACAGCACTGATTTCATTCATCTGTAAGAAAGTCAGTTTCCCCCAGTCTTAATATCCCTGCAGTCCATTGTACACCTTCTGCACAGATGCCTGTTTCAGCAGTTGCTTGAGACCTGCAAAAGAATGTAAGAATGATCATTCTCAACCAGCACATTCTATTTCTTACTTCTGAGACTGAGTTTCTTAAAAGAAAAACTCATAAGAAATATGCAAGTGCCTCCAAAACTAGTAAGACAGCTATGTCATACAGAGAATCAGAGTGGACCAATTCAAAATTGTCACCCCAATGGAATAGAACCATTACTGAAGTAATGGAATTTGCATAAATGCTAATTTAACAATCCTAATTTATTCAATGGGACTAAGCTAGTCGACAGAGAAGTGGATTTAGCATAACATCTTGGCTATTAATTAAAGCAGACTTGGCAAACAAAGATTATCACTGAACCATGATTTTGATTTTGTTCATGAATTACACAGCTGTCTTTTTTTAAAATGCTAATAAAATATCTTGCTGAACATAGCAGCTAGATGCTGAAAAACAAAGAAGAAAATATGGTGCTCTTGCACAACAGAAATGGTACCTACAAGATGGGCAAAGGGTGAAACAACTTTCTGATCTCATGCAGAAAGAACATTCATAAACAGTGATCAAGCCATGTGGCAATCTATCACAATAGTGGTTAAGGATACAGGAAATACAAACCTTCCCGCTGGTCGCTTGTCAGCTGCTCTTTGGGAAATTCTACATCAAATGTAATTATCAGGGAGCCTTTTATATTGTTATTGTCAAAGTTGGGGAGACCTTCTCCTTTTTTCCACAGCTTGGCTCCAGGCTTTGTGATTTTATCCCTGGCAATGTGGACCTAGGGGAATGAGCATGGAGAAGTTATGTTAAAATTTTTGACCACATACTCTTACACATTAATAACACGTTTAACAGCATATTTTAGCACTAATAGATGCAAAAGTTAATCATCTACCTTACCTTGTGCCCATCTAAATGGGTAATATCCATTTCAAAGCCAATGAGAGCCTCAACTAGTGAAATAGTCACATTCGTGTATAAATCATCCCCTCTCCGTTCAAAGACTGGATGCCTGAAGAAAAGGGGTTAGAAGAATATTATCATTTCCTATTTACTACCATAACCAGTATATCTGCTTACTCTATTTTAAAAAAATTAAAATTTAAAATTATTGATAAGTTAAAAATTTGCCAGTGATCCTGACCCTCCTTAGTAGTCTTTCAGAAGTCTCTGACAGATGGATCATTCAAAACATTAAGAATCGTGGTAAACATAAAAACATAAACATTTGTGTAAAGAAATTGATAAAATGTTTTTGTCTTGATAAAAATGGAAGTTTCGTTTCGTTTAGTCGTGTCCGACTCTTCGTGACCCCATGGACCAGAGCACGCCAGGCCCTCCTATCTTCTACTGTCTCCCGGAGTTGTGTCAAATTCATGTTGGTTGCTTCGCAGACACTGTCCAGCCATCTCATCCTCGGTCGTCCCCTTCTCCTCTTGCCATCACACTTTCCCAACATCAGGGTCTTTTCCAGGGAGTCTTTTCTTCTCATTAGATGGCCAAAGTACTGGAGCCTCAGCTTCAGGATCTGTCCTTCCAGTGAGCACTCAGGATTGATTTCCTTCAGAATGGATAGGTTTGTTCTCCTTGCAGTCCAGGGGATTCTCAAGAGCCTCCTCCAGCACCACAATTCAAAGGCATCAATTCTTCGGCGGTCTGCTTTCTTTATGGTCCAGCTCTCACTTCCATACATCACAACAGGAAAAACCATAGCTTTGACTATTCGGACTTTTGTCGGCAAGGTGATGTCTCTGCTTTTCAAGATGCGGTCAAGATTTGTCATCGCTTTCCTCCCAAGAAGAAGGCGCCTTTTAATTTCAGGGCTGCTGTCTCCATCTGCAGTGATCATGGAGCCCAGGAAGATAAAATTTGACACTGCCTCCATATCTTCCCCTTCTATTTCCCAGGAGGTGATGGGACCAGTGGCCATGATCTTAGTTTTTTTGATGTTGAGTTTCAGACCATTTTTTGCACTCTCCTCTTTCACTCTCATTACAAGGTTCTTTAATTCCTCCTCACTTTCTGCCATCAGAGTGGTATCATCTGCATATCGGAGGTTGTTGATATTTCTTCCGGCAATCTTAATTCCGGCTTGGGTTTCTTCCAGTCCAGCCTTCCGCATGATGTATTCTGCATATAAGTTAAATAAGCTGGGGGACAATATACAGCCTTGCCGTACTCCTTTCCCAATTTTGAACCAATCAGTTGTTCCATGACCAGTTCTAACTGTTGCTTCCTGTCCCACATATAGGTTTCTCAGGAGACAGATAAAGTGGTCAGGCACTCCCATTTCTTTAAGAACTTGCCATAGTCTGCTGTGGTCCACACAGTCAAAGGCTTTCGCATAGTCAATGAAGCAGAAGTAGATATTTTTCTGGAACTCTCTGGCTTTCTCCATAATCCAGCGCAAGTTAGCAATTTGGTCTCGAGTTCCTCTGCCTCTTCGGAATCCAGCTTGTACTTCTGGGAGTTCTCGGTCCACATACTGCTGAAGCCTACCTTGCAGGATTTTGAGCATAACCTTGCTAGCGTGCGAAATGAGTGCAATTGTACGGTAGTTGGAGCATTCTTTGGCACTGCCTTTCTTTGGGATTGGGATGTAGACTGATCTTTTCCAATCCTCTGGCCACTGTTGAGTTTTCCAAACTTGCTGGCATATTGAATGTAGCACCTTAACAGCATCATCTTTCAAGATTTTAAATAGTTCAACTGGAATGCCATCACCTCCACTGGCCTTGTTGTTAGCCAGGCTTTCTAAGGCCCACTTGACTTCACTCTCCAGGATGTCTGGCTCAAGGTCAGCAACTACATTGTCTGCATTGTCCGGGATATCCAAATCTTTCCGATATAATTCCTCTGTGTATTCTTGCCACCTCGTCTTGACGTCTTCTGCTTCTGTTAGGTCCCTCCCATTTTTGTCTTTTATCATGTTCATCTTTGCGCAAAATGTTCCTCTAATATGTCCAATTTTCCTGAACAGATCTCTGGTCTTTCCTTTTCTGTTATCTTCCTCTATTTCTTTGCATTGTTCATTTAAGAAGGCCCTCTTGTCTCTCCTTGCTATTCTTTGGAAGTCTGAATTCAAGTTTCTGTAACTTTCCCTATCTCCCTTGCATTTTGCTTCCCTTCTCCTCTCTGCTATTTCTAAGGCCTCGTTGGACAGCCACTTTACTTTCTTGCATTTCCTTTTCTTTGGGATGGTTTTCGTTGCTGCCTCCTGGACAATGTTACGAGCCTCTATCCAAAGTTCTTCAGGCACTCTGTCCACCAAATCTAGTTCCTTAAATCTGTTCTTTACTTCCACTGTGTATTCATAAGGGATTTGGTTTAGATTATACCTGAGTGGCCCAGTGGTTTTTCCTAATCTCTTCAGTCTAAGCTTGAATTTTGCTATGAGAAGCTGATGATCAGAACCGCAGTCAGCTCCAGGTCTTGTTTTTGCTGACTGTATAGAGCTTCTCCATCTTTGGCTGCAGAGAATATAATCAATCTGATTTCGATATTGCCCATCTGGTGATTGCAGAGAATATAATTAATCTGATTTCGATATTGCCCATCTGGTGATTTCCATGTATAGAGTCGCCTCTTGTGTTGTTGGAAAAGAGTGTCTGTGATGACCAGCTTATTCTCTTGACAAAAATGAAAGTTGTCTATGTGCAATTATCACATTTGTCCTAATCCAGCAGGGGATCATTTGCAGTTCTACTCATTAGCTTTTGAGTATCTGTTGGGAGTCCTAATGGGGTAAATTTCCCTGAAACTACTAAATTAGTTGGAGATGTTCATTTAATCAGTTCATAAAGACTTTCTTCTCAACGGTCAAAAGTTAATGTAGAAAAACTCTAGAATATAAGGTAGTTTCTGAAACTCTCTGAACTTTGTCATCCCTTTGGACTTTACTTGATTTGAGGCCCCAGAATCTAAGCCCCATAATGTGTTCTGCAGGGAAATGCATGGGAGATTTTTGCATGACTACTGTTCATTGCTGATACATGTGTCAAGGTCAAATGACACTCATATGTGGCACTGAGACACTAACACAAATATTGGCATCAGAAAAGGAACAAAGTAAGAGTTCTGCCTGAAAACCAGACAGAAGGAATAATCTTTACATCCCAGTAGTAACTCTTCATGTTTTACTCCTTGTTCAGATTGCACCATCCCAATCTGAAGAAAGATCCTGTTACCTTCATACACTTAATGTGAATCAATGAGTCGTCTGCTTGAAGACATTCAACTTATCCAGGTATTTGATGGAAGGGGAAAAAAAACCTCCACCTGTTTCAGAATCCGACTCTTTCTTGGAATTTCATATTCACAAGAACACAAACATATAAACACTTTTTTGGCACTGCCACTGACCCCATTTCCTATCAATCAAAAAACCAGTGTTGTAGAGTTGCACGTGATGAGGGTCCAGCCCGCCGGGGCCAGGCCGGACCATCCACTCACCTGTATAACTGGCTCTGGTCTCCCTTCCAATCACTCCAGATCTCTTGGTTGGCTATCCACTCATCAGCTTGGCACGGAGACTTGTCTTCCCTCCTCCTGCCAGGAGTGGATAGTTGATCCGGAGCTATTGGAAGGGAGAGCGGAGCCAGCGCTGGATGGGTGAGCCCGTTACGTCCACTTTTGTGGGGGTATTCGTATATGAATACGAATATCCCCATTTATTGTAAAGCAAATCCTTTCCTCATCAAACCCACAATTGTTTTTTTGTATTTTTGAACCCCTCCTGAGAAAACACACCTATCAGCACACATATGCTTAAATATATAATTTACAGTACTGAGCATTTTGCTCAGTACTGAATTAATATAGGGAAGAAAATGTAAGCATCCTGGTAAGCAAGAGATAACTTACTTGAGAACTTTTATCCGGAAGCGCAAATCCCCTGGCTCTCCATCAACATGTGGTTCCCCTGGAAAAGAACATGGCCAGATATGCTGAATTTATTCAGAAGGTTATGACATCCCAAGAGTGAAATCTACAACCAAGAGAGCTTTCCCATTAATCATATGATCTCTCAGGATTGGGATTCACCTATTTCCCAGACTCTGACATTAATCAACTGCAATATTTGCTATTTCAAAATATGCCAATATAGATCAAGCAAACTTATTCTGCTACCAGATAACCATGTATCCTAACCATTATGTCTCCCAGTATACCATTGGTATGACTGTCCAAGTTAAGAAGTCAGTATAGGCCTTTCCTATCACATAGCAAGTCACATGACTGGTATGTGATAGGAAAGGCCTATACTGAGTTTTACCAATCTGCTGCTGATAAGTACACCAATGACATTATGCCAGCAGGTATAATGAATAGGATTTGGCCATAGGTTTTAAATGCTCCACAAACCAACAAGTGCTTAATTTGAATAGAAAGCCAAGTTAATAGTATCTGCTAACCTGTAAAGAGGCTTGGCCATCAAAAACAAAACATCAGCCGCCTAGAGTGGTCGAAATGACTAGATAGGCGGGGTATAAATACAATAAATAAATAAATAAAATAAATAAATAAATCCCATTTTCCAGTCTGTGTAGGCATTATGTGCTATACACCAAGTATCTTAGAAAAACTTAGCTATATAAATATACATCAGCATTATGTGGAGTCATATAAAACCTAAAATATTTTAGAAACAAGTGCAAGCACAGATAATGCAGAAAATTGGGATAAAAATCATGAGAATAATTGTGAAAAACAGTTAAATCTCTGCTTCCATGATCACTGGGATCCCCACCCAAGGACTGAAAGCTGGTAAACAAAAGCTACAACTGAGTCATGGCAGACAAAAGATACACAGCTTTTTGTACAGACAAAATTACTGGGTCTCCAGTAATATTACAATGGATATGTTCTCTTGTTAAACCGGTCTTGGGGCCAGAATATTCAAATATATTTGATGTATATAAGAATAATTTTACATAAAAAGACCAGGTTCAAACTTGCTGCCAAGAATAAAAGAATTACAGCGTTTTAGAGCTGGATAAATTTGCCTGCATTTTAAAAATATTTAGCTGACCCAAAACATTGATTTTTTAAAGAAAAAAGATAGTTTGTTGTACCTTCCCCAATGAAGGGATATTCCATGCCATCCCTCATGCCAGGTTCTATCTCTACCTCTAGGGTTCGTTCTTCATTCACAAGCCTACAAAATAAGACAGGAGTGGCAAACAAAGAATGATGGACTTATATGAAGCACAACTTTCCTTTAGTGATTGTGTTATCAATAATTTCTTGCTATTTTGTCTCATCAGACCATATAGTGCAAATTGTTCTGTGTGTTTTGTGGAAGAGGTATTGGGCTTATAGCACTATTAACAAATAATACAAAATCCAGCTAGGTTTAGGGCATTTCCAGGTAACTCAACATTGTCTACAAGAATGCTGGTGACAAAATTCCCTGGAAAGCACCCACAAGTTCCATTTTATACCAGAACTGAAGCACCTCTGGTGTTTGGCGAACATGTTTTAGCTTTATGGTAATATAAGGAAACTATGTTGCTCGGCAAAACTACTCAAGCTCTAGTCAGTAATCCATGAAGTTTTCTATGTTGATAGTTTTTCCTTCCTGTTTTTATTCCCCCTGATAAGCACCAAGGTACACCACCATGTGGACTGTACTGGCACTGTAGCTCCTTGCCCCTCGTTTCAATAACCATGCATGTTTACAAATCATGAGAGCACATCCCCCAAAGTGCCAGAGGACTTCAGACTCACTTGACATTGGGGCATTCATCACAGACAACTTCTTGGGTCATCTGGAAGCGCCCTGGGCCTAACTGGGTTGTCCTCATCTCCTGTCGGCAGTTGCATTTTCGTTTGCCTGGTGCCTGTCTTGCTACTGGCTTGTTGCGAACTACCTGCAAAGAGACAGAGAAGACTTCTCATCCAGATCATATAATAGTGAAAGCGACTAAAGACTTTTCACTATGCCTTGCAGTTCTCAGGCAGTATCCTCTTCTTTTGTAACTCTAAAGCCGAGGGAGAAAAATATTACTAGATGCAAAATTTAAGCACGTCTCTAAGTCATCATGCTGAATGTCCAATATTAATGCCTTTTTTTGCTACAAGAGTGCAATACTGCAACTCTTGCGGAATCATTTGTTTTTGAAAACAAGAACAGGCAAGCTGACTTTAAATAAGTTAAAGAGGCTCATCAAAAGAAATTTGGCAAACTTACTTCCACAAAGTTTCCTGAATACACTTCTTCCAGTGTAACTTCTAGGTCCACAATAATGTCACTTCCTCTTGGAATGTTTCTGTCTTGCTGACGAGGGTTCCCTCCAAACATGAATCCGAAATCCCCAAAGAAACTGTAAACAATCATGAAGTTGAGCAAAGGCATAGTACATATAATTTAAGATTCAGGATGGATAAAAATCAAATTGATTTAAATCATGATTTATATAAAAATCAATTTATTTTATTTAAATTTTCCAAAAAAAACCCCAGAAAAACCCAGTTTTAAAAATTTTAATCAGGATTTAAATCAAATTCACCCTGTTAAGATTCCTTTTCAGTTAACTAGTGAGAGAATTGTATGGTTCAGCTCTTCAGCTGAAAAAGCAGCATCAACCAAATTCCCATTCACTTCTTGAGTCACCATAGCAATTTAAGTGATTACTTTTATGAAAACAAGCTATAATAAAACAGAAATAAAAAAAGAAATAAGAGCAAAACAAACTGGATAAAACTGCATTAAGAGAAATAATCAAGATACAATCATGGAAATAAAAAGGACTACAGGCACAAAGGTCATACGGGGGAAAGCTTAGGTAGTCTCTGATCTAATGTCTAATTCTTTAGGGAAAGGGTTAGCCATTCTAAATAATTAGATCTTGAGCCAGATTCCCATCCCTTCAGCCTGACAAGGATGCAATGAAATCAGAACATTTATTACATTCCCTGACATTCTTGATCATTCTGGGTTGGTGCTTCTAGCTGCTGCTGGAGCCAGGGACACAGATTTGTTGCTTTCCATGTGGTGAGGGAAAGAGGTAAGAAAGGATAAAAGCTTCATCTACAGCTGTCGCACAACCATTGCTGAAGCTGACATTTTGGTGTAAGAACTGTTGCTTGTCCTGTGTTTTTCCTCTCATGAGGTAGAGTGAGGCATGGACAAAGCAGATTCCAGTGCCAAGTGATAGCTGCATGAATACTGCTGCTGTTGTTACCTGAGTCTAGGGGGCTTAAATTGTCCTGTTTCCCCCCACCAGGAAGAAGAGGGGGTGGGCAAAACTCTCCACTATCTCTGACTTGAGGTATTAGTGGGAATGCCAGCACATGCAAAAGGTAGAGTGCTAGCAATACAGAAGAATTCCTGCTGTTATCGCTGATCAGAAGTAGCAGTGGACTTCCCACCCATTCCTCACTCTTTTCCTGATGGGGAGGGTGAGGGGTGTTGCAGTAATTTCCAAGGTTGCTGTGGTGGGGGTACTGTAGGGATGAAACATGTCCCGGATTTCTCCTAAGCCAGACTGGAAATACATGCACAATGAATCAGGCGCATGGAGGTTCCCTTTCTCCTCCTTCAGAAGGATCTACAAAGACTAAAAATCCTCTTTTCAGTAAAATTACATAAAGTCTATACCTACTCACACTAAGTGCGCGGTAACACCAACAAATTCAGGAAAAAGATGTTCAAAAGATACTCCACTCCTTGGGAAGCATTTTCAAATAGTCACGCCATTCAAGGTATACACTTAGGAGAATTTGGTACAGAATATATGCCTTGAAGTAGGTGGCTCTGGGATGTGTCACTGTTTTAATAAGGATACTGAAATCCAAACAGTTGTCTTGGAGATTCTCATTCATATCACTATTTATTTCACATTCCTTTTTACCTTGTTCTGAAACTGACAAGAACCCATACTAGCTTATTTATTTATCTGATCTATGACTTCCCTATAATTGGACTCAAAGGAACACTGTTAAAATTGAAAATGCAGATAATATTAAAATACAATAAAACAAGAGTCTATGAAACAATGGTGCTAAAACAACTGAAAAGCATCTCAATCAATATAGGAATCAGTATATTAAGCTGGAACATTACTTCAGAAGGTTTCATGGCCTGCTATCAAGAATGTGTACTAGCTACAGAAAAAAGTGTTTAACAGAGGTGAAGCAGGGATGTATGTATGTGCAGATACAAGGCAGTTTGAGAAGGCCTTAGTCAAGTTTGGTGAGGTTCCTGCATCCCTGCAATCACTACAGTTTTGTCCAGTGTTTTGAGGGTTAAAAATGCTGAGACTGGAACAAAATTACTTAATTATAGTTTTTGAAGAAAAAGAAACGAGTGCCCAAATAATAGGGTATTGACATCCAAAGCTCCAATGGAAGCCAAAACCTCTGCTAGAAATGACAGATGGTGACCTGTCATTTCATGACCTGTCAAAGGAGAGATGATCAACCTTTACAGGACTCTATTTATTCCTTCCACTGATGAAGCAACCTTTATACATCTAAGAACAGTAAGGCGAGGGTGATACCCTACCTTTTAGACTAGCAGGGTTCTAGAATTTTCTTGCTTTTGCTTTTAGAAGCTATATTGAGTCTCATTATACTTAGGATTCAGTACGTTTGTAAATGTGCGTAGGAATTTAAACTGCCTAACTTCCTGTTCTTTCGTAGAAGGGGAAAACTGCTTTTTCCTCTTCCTGAAATTTCTCTGTCCAAATCTCTCTAGAGAAAAAGTGCATAGCACTTCATGGATTTCCCAAACAAAAGAAATATACAATTGCTTCAGGAAACAACTGTCTTTGGAATTTGTGGTTTTTGTTTGTTTGGAGGGGGGAGAGACAGCTTTACAGTTCATAGTTTCCCATCACAGCTGCTAAGAGTAGCAACTCAATAATTCCCCTCTCAGATGAAACTTCTACCTGAGTGTAGCTGTCCTTTGTTTTCACCATGATATAGGTCAGTCTCTCCTGTGCTACCGACACTAAGGATGCATCCCCCACTTCCCACTTGCTGCGGATGCCTGTGTATGTTCCAGAGTGAGTGAATGGCAAAACATGACACACTTTGCTTTGGGTAGTGGGTAGCAAATGGCACACTTAGGCTACTGACCGGGGACACTTGAAGACATTTACCTTTTAATGCACATTGTTTTTCCTTTTCCCCCTTACCTGCATTTTTACTATTTGTATGCAGTATTCCCTTCAAGAGCACCACAGAAGTGCACCTGCCACTTTTCTCTACGTTATGGGGAAGCCTCTCCCAGTGTGTTAAAAACAGTGGCAGATTTCATGAAAGGAATACACAGGTTGGGACATATATAGGTTGACAGTGGGCAGGAAGCCTTCCTACAGAACATCTGCCATTTGAATGGCCAGAAAGAGATTTTGCCCAATCATCTACAACACTCTTCAGGCTATTGTTTGCCTTTTCAGAACATAAAGTTCATCTAGGGTTAGAAATTCTGTCAAGTCTCTGTCCTGCCAGGCAAAACAATAATTTTGCCAATTATTCTCCCTTGTTACAAGCAAGGGTCCAGGAATGTTCCTTACTGTACTCTCTAGAGTTTTATGTAAGACTCTGGTGAATTTCACATGTCAGTGTTGTGAAAACAGTATTGTATAACATTTGTGCACAAAATTCTGTAGTGATTTTTTCTATGGCCTTCTATTGTTGGTAGATTTATTTTTATGATCCTCATCCCACCCTCAATTTCTGGCTTCTCGGTGAAGTCTTGAATTTACATGTTTAGTACAGCAAGGTTCACTTACTACTTGGCCACCAGGAGACACGTTAAGCCCAAAGCAGACTATTGAAAGGATATTTAAAAAATTAATGTGCATTTCCTCAAGGGAATCAGAGACAACAGCATGTCACTCATCAAGCTCACAAGTTCAAGTAGTGGGTGAGCAAGATACAAGAAGGTTATATAAACCAAATGTTGGCAAACTGAGAATGGAAAAATGGGAATAAAGAATAGAAGGAATACAAAGGAGGCAGTTGTAGTGAATGGTATAATAAGAAATTAAGAATTTTTAAAACTGTATTTTTCTCTTAGAAGATCTGAGACTGAAACTGGAACGACAAGTTGCGTTTGTTCATTCATCAATAGATTCTGAACTTTACTGCAGGCACATGGTACTTCCCCCCAAAAAGCAAGGATCCTGCCAGTAATGAAGCAACCATCACAGAAGTGCACCTGCCACTTTTCTCTACGTTATGGGTGGAATGCTACCAGCCAATTGATCTCTCTCTTTATTCAGGGGAAATGCTTGTCCTTCTAGGACCTCTTCTACAGGCACTGGACAGTGAGGCACAGAAACTGAAAAAGCCATGAATATTGGAATTTCTCCACTCCAATAGAAAATCAAAATAGCTTTTGAAGGAAAAACATGTTAACATGTATTTTATGGAACTGTCTGCAAGCCAAAGATAAAGTAGCCCAAAATAATCCTTATGCATCTCCCCATAGTCTACCCAGACCTCATATGCTACCCTCTTCCCATATTCTGCCCACTGGATTGCTGCCTGCACAGCTGCCATTGGTCACATTCAACACACATTTTCCCACTGCTGTGGTCTGCTCCTGTTCAATGTACACGATTAGGCACAATTAAGCAAGCACACATATCCTCCCTCTTGAGAAAGAAGAGATTTCTGTACCCTCATCGAAAGAAGAGAAAAGCTGCACGCTGAGGGAAGACAGCTGACAGAAGAGCACTCTCTTGAAGTATTTATAAAGTCCACCACCTAAGCTAAACAAAGCTTAGCAGGCAAGTTTAGTTTATTTTTTCCTTACAGTGCGAGACTGAAACTGGTAAGAGAAATGGATTCACTCATACATCAACAACAACAACCATCAGAGCTAAAGTGAGACATCAGCACACACATGGCCATTCTTCATTCAAAGAAACCACTCCACCTGTTAGAGCTTCTTCTAATAGACGCTACTAGCAACTGAACTGGAGAAGCCAGGGAGACTGAAATGCTTTTTTCCATTCACTGCTTGTTAGGAAAATAAAGCAGCCACTGAAAATAATAATACTTTTTATATTTTACTTCTGCCTCTGTAAGGAATGAGAGGACATCCTCCACCCCATTTCTGTGGCTAAACACAGTATAGCCAAGGAAGCTGGTTGCTTTTTGCTTATAGAACATGAGATAAAAACTGGTATGGTAAGCTGAATTCAGCCATTATTACCTCAATCCAGCTATTGTGGTACACCAGGCTGGCTTTTTTGCATAACTCTGGAATATAATGAAACATTTTATATGTTACATAATTTTCTTTATGATACCAAAGAGAATTTACCCCATACCTCTCCTGGAACCAGCTAGGTGGCTAATCAGCACAGGAAAGGAAGTAGGCAGGCAGAAAGGAGGCAAAGTTGTGGTGTGATAAATTTGAGGGTCACCACTGTCAGATATTTGACATTTTTAAAAGTGCCTTTTCTTCTTCATCTGATGGAGCCATTCCTCTGTGTGTGTTTCTACCTCACAAGTAATACCATGAAGTAATACCATGAATATTGAGAAAGAAAGGAATTGGAATGACAGTCTAACTTCACACAATAGATCCAACCTTTTGCACAGAAATTGAGTGCTTATTTCCAACACAGAAGCAGTGATAATGGGCTAACAATTATTGCTTCAATGGCAGCCAAAATGGCTTTCCATGAATGGAAACTTCTAGGGTGGTTGTTTATAGTAGCAGGCATTGCCGGTAAGAAATGTGTGGAGAAGCTACTGAAAGATTGGGCTGCCACCTGGAGGAAACTCAGGAAACTACTAGATTAGAAATATGTTACAGTACTTTCACACAAGATTATTTCATCAAGTTCCCCCCCCCCCGCTTCTTCCCAGCAAAACTACATGGTAAGACTTTATTCAGAAGACATTCAAGAAAAAAACAACTCAGGAGACTTCTTATTTTCTTGCAACTTTTGAAAATACTTTCAGCCTTAACAAATCTTTCAATGGGAAATCCCACTTTGTCAAAGAAAGGAAAACTGCTAGGGAACAATGAATATTATGATCATTTCTTATACCCTTCCTATCACAAGCCTACCTCTAAGAAACTTGTGCATTGTGGAAACCAAGATAGGCACAAGATGCCTCTATTACATCACTGGAAGAACATTCTTCATAATATCTGGTAAATGTTGCACGTGGATAGCAAGGGAAGAAGACTGTGTTAATTGCATCTGGAAGATACCTTGAAGCTCAAGAGTGGGGAACCTATGTCCCTGCAGATGATATTGGACTCCAACCACCATCAGTCCCAGCCAGCATGGCAGCCAAGGGTCCGGGAGAAGTGAAACTATAGTCCACAAACAGAGGCACCTGGAGAGTCACAATATTCTCATCACTGCCATAACTTTGTCACCTTTCCTCAGCCTCTAGGAAGCCAGATAAAGTCCATATACAGTAGTTCTGAATGGAAGACATTATATTCCTAATATACGAAATTCCTGCGCTGTGAGAACTGCTATGACTTTTAAATTAAGAGAATAATAAACTCTGAGTCAGACTTCTGTCAGTCAGTATGGACGATCAGGATTATTTTTGCTTAGATTATCCTGCTCTTTGGGGGTCCTGGGTCTCATAAGATTTATGAGGGAAAGTGTACCATGTCAATTTCATATGCTTTTATTGGCTCATTTTCCAAGTAAGTTTCATGTGGTTCCATAAATGTGGATGTTCAAATAGGCATATGATGCTGTGTTATTTCCTTTGTTTTAATGATACTGTGAAATCAAATATTGTTACTGTTATTTTTCTGCTATGGAGCATTATATCTTTTATGCAGCATATTGATTTTTTTACTGTTTAATTATTGTTTTTCTTATGGCACAACATTTACTCCTACTTTTTATGCATATGTATTTTAAGATATGAGCTACTTTGAGAAGGCTTGTACATAAAGGTAGTCCGAAAGCTATATTAAATAGCTACCTAACTGCCTGTTACTTCTGCTTCTATAGAATCTGCAGAATAGCTATCCAATCTTGGCATTTGCTTTAGTATGAAGTAATCCACTGTCAGATTGCCTGATATCCCGCATTAGGATGTCCCCATGCAAGTCTCAATGACATTAATCAAAACACTGAAGACAGAAATATTTTAGAAAAACTTTCCCAGCTCGTTGGAAATGACTCCTTGATGAAAGCCAGGTTTATATCTGCCAGCTGAATTAAAAGAGTTAACACTTTCTTGCCTATTCTACAAATAAACAAAAAAAATCACTTAAGTGATACAGGATCTTCTCACCAGGACCAAGAAACCTAATTCTTCAGTGTGTTCTTATAGCCTTCATTCATCATGAGACTAATTGAACAGCCACTAGAGAACAAGAAATTATGGCAGTGTTACTGAATGCATTGAACCAACAGCAATATCACGGCAGTGTACATAAAGGTAAAGTTTGTCCTGTCATGCAAGATAATATGATCAAGGCAGACTTACTGTGAAAAAATATCTCCATGGGAACTCTGATGACCCTCTTTCAATCCTTCTTCTCCATATGCATCATACTGCTTTCGCTTTTCCTCATCTGACAGTACCTGAAAGAGACAGTACACATGTGTGTATTAGATAAAATGGAAGTTAAACAGCAAAAACAATCATAAATGGTGAACGGACTGAAGACTTTAAGACTGAAAAAGGCACCAGATAAGGATGCCCTCTCTCCCCATGCTGTTTAAACTGACCCTGGAAGTGCTCAATAGAAATGTGAGACAGGATCCGGAAATAAAAGAAGCAAAAATAAAAGGTGAAAGCTACAAGCTACAAGCATTTACAGACAATCTGGTATTTATCTTAGAAGATCCACTGGAATAAACACCAAAATTAATTGAAAAGATTGAGGAATATGTAGAAGTATCAGGACTGAAAATCAACAAGGAAAAAAATGAAAGTTATCACAAAAAAATCTAACAGCAAAACAAAAAACCAACTATCGGAAATGTCAAAGTTACAAAGAGTTAAAAAGGGAATATATATTGGGAATATATATCTAACTACAAGATATCCAACCATCAAAGAAGACAATTACGTAAAATTACTTAAATAAATAAAAAACAGACTTGGAAAAATGGAAGGACTTACAATTATCAATGAAAGGAAAGATAGTGACAATTAAAATGAGTATCTTACCAAAACTACTTTTTTGTTCCAAACAGTTCCAATTAAAATAGAAAAGAAATACTTTGAAGACTTAAACAATATGAGTTTAATGTTCATTTGGCAAGGGAAGAAGGCAAGAATTAAACTGAAGAAGCTACAAGAATCTAAAGAAAAAGGAGGATTCGGACTACCAGACTGGGAGCTTTACTACCAAGCATGTATTTTAGTATGGCTTAAAGAAGTATGCAATCAAGATTGCATACTTCAACTCTATTAGAGAGCAGGCCGGGTAGGTGGGGCTCGTCAGCCCTGGAAGGCAGCCCATCTAGGAGAAGGAAAACTCCGACTTTAAACCTCCACTGCCTTGTGGCTATATCCACTTATGGAAAGGGCTTCAGGAGATAACCTCGAGGCAAAATCCGGAGCCGGAGTCCTGGAGACAATTCTGCCAACTCCTGCAACGTTGCTGGAACCAGTTGTATTGGCTCTTGCCTTTCCACTGGACTATTTCAGCGATGTGGAGAGGGGGGATCTGCTGCTTGGGTAACAGCCTATCCCACATACTATTTTACCCAGGTTTCGTGCTCTGGAGAGGACACTCCAGCTTCGCACACAGCGTCGAAACTACACGGAAAGTAGCAGTTACCGGTTATAAGTCTTTGCTCAACTGGCATAGAGCATGACACCAGGGGCTACTTCTGATGGTGGGAGAGGTCATTGCACCTCAATAGGTAGATACCGCCCGCCTTAAGCTGGGCAGCCTCCAGGCAGTAAGGTGCTACCTCGCCACGGTCTGTTAACCTCACGGGGTGCGTGGGGTTTAGGGTGAAACCCGACAAGCAGATCGATAACCATGCACCATGCAACAATCGTAAGAAAACTTCTGCCCTAAAGCTGGGCACCTGGAATGTACGGACAATGACCCCTGGCTTTCCTGACTACGGCTTTCCTGATGACCTGCAAGAAATAGGCGATGTGCGCAAGACAGCTGTCATTGACATGGAACTGAGTAGGCTGCAGATGGACATTGTTGCCCTGCAAGAGACAAGACTGCCAGACTCGGGATCTGTCAAAGAAAAAAACTTCTCATT